ATACTAAATATATATAATTATGCAACCTGCAATACATTGTACAGGCTCACTAGGTCTTTCTGAAGTAGGATGAATCCTTTTAGTTAAAAAAAAAAAGATTCCTCATCTCTGCCTGCTGTCAAGTATAGGTTCCTGCTGAGACATCAAAAATCTCATATAAACTAATAGTTATTGATAGTCCACTGTATTTAAATTAAGAGGGTTTCTTTTAAGTATGAAAGAAAGTATGGCTATAGAAGGGAAACAGTAAAACATATTTTCCACACACAAGTTTATAGCAATCAAACACAATTGGCAATTATTAATTTGTCAGTGTCAATTATTTTCTAATTTGACAATTAAGTATTTCTATATTATTGTTTTGGATTAAAATGACCAACTTGAAGTTTATCTTAGCCTGCATATTATCTTTTATTGTGTTCTAATAATTTAGCTCTTATCACGTGTCATAGCACTAATATAAACTAACTGTTCATTAATTAAACAATAAAGATACCGATAAAGATTTTAACAGTTCTAAATATATCTACTGGACCATATTGAAACTGTGATTCTTAATGCTGATTAGAAGTTACCATGTGTTTGATAGACAAATATCTGAATAGACAGAGTAACCTAGAAATTTCCATTATTTGAAAAATAAATGATTTGGAGAATATTTTTAATACTGGATCAGAGTTAATGTATCTGGAAATATGGAATGCAGGACTTTTCTCAGAACCTTATATAAAGTTATTAATTAATATCTTGTTACAAATAAAGATATCTGAACTTCATGATGAAAATTTTAATAAAAAGGATCCATTAGAAGAAGGTGTGGTTTACAGATTACAATGCACATGTGGAGTTCCAAGTTTTTATATTGGAGAAACTAAATGGAAGTTACAGATCAGACTATCAGAACATCTCGCTGCAGTACAATTAAAAGTTAATACTTCCCCAGATTTTTACATTGTAATGCTAATAATTGTCAAATTAATATTAATAAAGTAAAAATTGTATACAAAGAAACAAATATGGTTAAAAGAAGACTTAAAGAACATTTTGCAATAGTTATGCAAAGTAACTCTGTAAATCTGAATAATGGCATGGTGTCAGCAGAATGCTGGAAAAATCTTGTTGGTTATATAAGTTGTAATCACGGAGTGAGAAACTAATAATGGATATTTATCATGATTGGCAATTTGAATTGTATTATGTATTGAAAATAAGCCATACTGAGGAGGCCTGTGTGCTGGCAAATGCATTTGGGGATAAGTGTGAAGTAACAAAAAAGTGTTTTTCTCTCTACAAAAACCTGGTTTGGTTTTTTAGCCTTTTTAATTCTAATTCTACTTCAATTTTTATTAAATGTTTTAGAGTTTAGAAATCATTAGTTCTCCATAAGTCAGAAAGGAAGGAAAATTTGAATTTTCGTGTATTTGCTTATAGTATAATTAAGTAAGATTACAAGGGATATATTTACCTAGACTCTTTAAAACTTACTTCCTGCAATGCTATATGATTGGAAAAGTTAGGAATATTATTCTAAAATGGTATTTAAAATCAATATTTTTGTAACAATAGACAAAAAATGCTTATAAAGTATTAGGTGTAGCTATTTTGCTCCGATCGCTCTGGCAGTTGACCGTGTAAGTTGAAATCTATGCTAATTAGTTCATCTGATCGCATTTAGGCAAGCTGTTTTCACCTGAAGCATTGGGAGATGACCCCTTTCTCAATGACATGTAAGAATAACGGGTTGCCTGGCTTTTGGTGATAGAAAAAAAATTATTGTGCCATGCTCCTGGTAGTCGAGTTAAGTAGTGATGCATTGTGTCGTCTTTGGGAGATAATGAGGGCTCCAAGATTTGGGTGTGTATTTTTTACAAAATTCCTATTATTGATATTATATATAAATTAATTTTGAATATATAAGTTGTCTTGTTTAATATTTAATGTATTAATGAATCATTTAAGTCTCTATGCATTGAAATAAGTGTTTTGTTCATTATATAAGTTTATACAATACATAATTAAATTTTGCAATAGCAATGTTATACACAAAATAAACAAAAAAACATACAAAAATATTTTTGTTAACCAGTGGTATGTTATCCTATGAGCAAAAGGGACAATTGCCTGGGGCCTCTACCAACAGGGGTCCCCAAATTAATCTTTTATAAGGAAATATTTTCCTAAAAAAATTCTCCCAAAGAAAAATGTCTGAGGTCAACATTACTGTACAGTACATGGGGCCCACTAATTCATGAAGCTATAATATGCCACTGTTATTAACTTATTTCAATTCTTTTTTACTTTTAATAACTTGAAAGAATCATAAAACAAAGTAATAAGATTTATATATTAAATTTTTTTTAAAGAAAACCATAAACTTGGTGTTTGACAAATATGATAATATATAATGAAGGTACTCACATTAGCATTGCTACTTGTGGGATCATCTGCAAGTGTTGACATTAACCAGTAGTTGACTTAAACCCATAGCATGTAATTTTTGTCCTCTAAGAAAGTTAAGGCTGTTATACATGTTACGGAAATCCTCAAAGAATGTACTTAACAGACGAATAAAAATCGGATATAACTGGCTGGATCGAACATAGTAATTTACAAAACTTATTAAAATATTTCCCAATGTAAAAACAATTATTTTTATTTAAAGGTGGATAGATAGAAAAAAAAATCACGGTTAATCCTCAAAGGATTTCCGTAACGTGTATAACAGCCTTTATATTCCATATCAATTGTTAAATTTCACTATATACTTCATTTTAAGGTTGCAGTTTCTATTTTCTTATCATTTTTATGATAACTAATATTATTTAGTAATATAATATACTAATATTAATATAATATACTAATATTATTTAGTATAATGTGTATACTTTGAACTAGAAAAGAGATTAATGGTAATCATTAATTTGGCTTTCCTACACCAGGGATGGAGAACCTGTGACATTTTGTGGTTTCTAATGCTACCAGACAAAATATAGTGTGATAAAATTCAAGACAGCAAAATTAAACTTATGTTATGAAAGTACATTTTTCTTTCTCTTCTCCAATAAAATATGTAATTAAGTATGGTGTATGTATATTATTGGTGCATATATATAGGAAATATATATAATTATGCAACCTGCAATACATTATACAGGTGCACTAGGTCTTTCTGAAGTAGGATGAATCCTTCTAGTTAAAAAACTAATCATCACTATCCTGCAGTTAAGTACAGTATAGGTTTCTGCTGAGACATCAAAAATCTGATATTAACCAGTAGTTAATGTTAATGATAGTCCACTGTATTTAAATTTAAGGGGGAGTTCCTTTTAAGTGTGATAAGAAAGCATGATTTTCAGTAAACTACATACTGAAATGTAGATAGTTTTATAACTTATCAAATCCAAGAAACTTTTATCTTTGTCTTGTTATTTCCAGTTGTAAATTTGTTAATCCTCTTGACAACAATTTCTTACCTGACCATCTCAATTCCTGATTCTGCTTCATTTCCTTCCTCAGCATGTGACAGGTTATGTGAAATCATGACATTTTTTTGCCATTATTTCTGCCTTGTTGATGGTTTGGCATGTGCCCATGCTACAGCAGTCTTGCCAACAGCTTGCTTTACATTGATCTTTTGCTATACATAGTTATCAATGTTGCAAAAAATGATGCTCAAGAGTATGCTTCAGTATTTAGCCTTATTCCAAGATCAGCTGTAGAACAACAGTACATAGCACTCAACTTGCATGTTTTCCAGTGAGACCCAAATGAAGCAGTTGTCATCTGACAGCTGGATTCTTTTAATCCAGTTCATTCAACTGTTTATTAAAAATGCTTTGCATCATCCAGGCTTGGCAGTTGAAGAAAGTGCCTGTTTGATCAGTATTGAAAATGTCATCTGTACTGTATTTAAATATTGTATCTTGCCTGTAGGCCATGCACAGGATACGTACAATAAAACATCAATTTTTTCTCTGCATATAGCTTTTGAAATAATTCCATACTTTTCACAAAATCCTGTTAAAAGGAGGAACTGTTCATTGGACAGTGGCATGCTTGAATATCTTTAAACCAGATGAAAATAACTTTCTACACATCATCAAACTGTGTTATGTATTTTCTTCCTGATGGGTCCAACATTGGATCTTTTTAACTTTTTTTCAATGTTGGATAATCTTTTAAAAACATTGACAGAAAAGGTGATGCCAAACACCCTTGCAACATCTACTTTTTTATTCAGAATCAACTTCTTGTAGGAAAGCAACTTTTCAAACAATGAAAATTGGTTTTATGTTTTCCTCTTTGGCATATTTTATTGTCTGACATGATTAGTTTCACTGACTAATGGACCATAAGTATATTAGCCATTTGATACTGAAATAGTATAAGGATTCATTGAATATAAAACTCTTATTTGCTTCCTCCTACTTGTAACTTCTTAGTATCATCCCTGTAGTCATCTAGTGTGGTGACATTCCTGTCCTGTAATCTGAGAGGTCCTGTCACTGGTGTCATCCTCTCTTTTATGGGTTTTTCACCTTTGTTGTTCTGGGTATTTCCAGAATATTTTAATATGGGTAACAAAGAATCCAGTCTATCCACCACACCAGCCTTGGCCTAAGGCATCTTCTAGACATGCCCCTTTTGTGCAGTTGTCTAAGGAATTTCATAATTATTTTCATCCAGCCCATCTCAGTGTTTTGATATACTGGGAATGTTCAGTATAGTGAAAAAATCTTTAGTACTCTGAAATTTATATTGACAGTTCTCAAGCCAAGTCTTACAAATGGCCAACTGAAACTTTAAACTTTTTGCTATACTGAAATTATATTATATCAGTGTTTTCTATAATGAGGGGTTATTTGTATATTTAACAGTAAAAAATAAGCACTCTATCAAATACACTTTTTAATATTCTTTAAAACTGTATTGTTTCATTTTAAACAAGTACAACAAATCCAAAAAAAAAATATTTTATTTTATACGATATTGGACAATAACAAAAATGAAAGGATTCCAAAAATGCAATAAAAAATAAGTTTAAATAATTTGTTATCATAGCAATCACATAAAATTACAAGTATTAATTCCTTACAGACATAATGAAATATAGTATGAAAATTTAAACAAAATAATTCTTTATTTATTTAAAATATAAGTTTACAATAATTCATAATTAATAATCTGTTTTTACTATTACGTTAAATATGATAAAGAAAATTTAAACCTTAATTTTATTGTGCTTAATTAACATAGGGATGATTAGTCCAAAATAAAAATCAAGACTAAATCAAACTCTGAATTTCAGTTTTTACAAAAATTAAAATGGTCCTAGGAATGAAAAAGTATAGTTCACTGACCATTTATAGAAGAAAATGTTGTATGCTTTTTTCCATAATGGAAATGTTTGTTAAAGGATTGCAATGACAAAGTTCAATATCAACATTCTCTAAAGGACTATCCCCATCATCAGTTACAGGTATCGTAGAGTAGAAATATTAAAAAGTTTTTATCTGTGGAGCAGATAACCTGAACAATTAAAAAAGCATTATTTAAAATTTAGATTCTAAAATATGAATAAATGTAGTAATGATTTAAAATAAATGTAACTACTCCAGCCACTTACCTTTGAGTTCATTATCCATGAAGTAATTGTCATACATAGCTGCTCTCATGATACAGCAAAAGCCTATATGATGTTACATAACTTCTGGCTATAACTGCTCACAATCAGTTAAAGCTATTAAATGTGTAAAAAATAAAATGTCAGAATCATCAATGTATTCAAGAGTTACATAAAAAAGTTGAAATAACAGCTATTTTTAATATGAAAGTAAGAGAACAAAAATTAAAATTCTAGTTAAGCTTCATTTTCATCACTTTATATACATACTAGCAGATGAGCCTGGTGTTGCTTGGGCAAAAAGTAACAATAGCAAAGATTAAGATTATTAGATTATAGCCAATCTTACCCGTTTTCACCAATTGTAAGATTAGGTTCCCCTCTTCCGAAACTAATTAGAAAATTTTTAGATATCTGCTTACCATACCAGGATATCAATAATTAAGACTCACTGCAATCACTCACTGGTGTGTAATATCACTAAGTGATGAATAATAAACATTTTTGTAACTCTTTCTGGGTTCTTCTTTGGGTTTACTAAATTTGAAAAGTAATCTGGATCTTCTAGAATCTTCATAAATATAAAATCGAACATTAAGATGGAGAGCTCGAATAAAGCAAACCCTTATGTGCATGTGCTCCCCGTGTCAACTTTATATACGATGGAACACTAAACATCATTGAGAATTTTTAGAAGGGTCTAAAAATATGTTTGATTTTCCGCATAAATGCAAAAGAGGCATCTAAAATAGTACAGTAGAAGCCAAGTTTTTAGGGGTAATCCTTAACCCTCTCTCCCATGGTGGAAATTTTGAAAAATCCCTTCTAAATGTGCATTTTCATGGTATACCCTATTAAAACACAATCAAAAACTGCAAAAAACCACATCTAAAATAGTATAATAGAAGCCAAGTTCTTCACGGTAAGCCTTAATCCTGACCATCTCCCCCAAGAGGGTGGGGGAAATTTTGAAAAATTCCTACTTAGTATATGTACCCTAACTAAGTACCAAATTTCAACTTTCAACTACTAACCGCTTGGGCTCTGTGCTTATTATTATCATTATCAATCCATCTCAATTATATTATAAGTTTAATAAAAATTAATTCATTTGCTAAGAGAAATAAAATAATTTCTTTAGAAGAAATGGTTTATTTAAAATTGTTACATTTTCTAAAATTTAACATTGTGTTAAGCAAAAATAAGAGTTAATTGTGGCTTAGATAGAACTTCTGTTTATATAATTGACATTCTAGATGTTAATGCAAGTAAATAAGTGTAATGGTATGATCTGATTTGTGTAACGCTCTGGAGTTGAGTATTGCATGTTGTTACTTTAACCATCAGCAATCATGTTAAATTGCCTCAATTGAAAATAATACTTAAGGAAATATTACAAAACTTTGTTTTGTTACATTAATTATTTTGGTAATTGTATGAACCGTAATAAATTAGTAATTTTTGTAGATTCATATTTTTTTCAAACATTATAATTAGAATAGGTACTTGAATGTATTAAAATAGATATGTGGTCAGTATATATTTATAGTCAACAAATACATTTGGATTTTCACAATTGTAAATTGCACAATCAACAGCAAACTAAATTTATATGCAACTGTACAAACATCATTTCTTAAATATAATATATATATATATATAGTCAAGTGAAACCTTAATAGGTTAGAGCTTATTTGTGTATATAAAATCAATTAGGTTCTTAAAATGGGAAAGAAATTATTTTTCATCACAATAATACAAGATAAAATTCAAATATATTTACTATACAATCACACAAAAATTTATAATTTTTCTTCACATATAATCATAATAAAACATAAAATAACAACATATTATATAACAAGGAATGAAAAGGTATATAAAATCAGTATAATAAGGAAATAATATTATTATGGCTGAATTTCAAAAAAGTAGTAATAAATTTACTATGGAATTGATAAAGGAAGGTTGCTTTTGATTTCAAATTAATCAATATCAAATATTTGTATATGTAAAACTGTTTAAATATATACTATTTGACTAATTGAAATAACAAGCTAAAAATTAATTTTTAAAATAAATCCTGTTATTAATACATAGAAATTATAAATTCATTTTAAATTCTCATTGATAATTTTAGAACAAATTACATTAAGATTTAAACTCTCTGCTAATGTTTTTCTTAAATGTTTATAATTTATCTCAATATGAAATAAATATAATGTGAAGGACTAATTTATTCCAAATATTTTTCCAGACTTTTATAAGACATGGAAAAAATCTTATTCTCATCTGATTTGAATATGGTATTAGTGGAGGATTTTAGTTTTGAAGTTTTGTGGTATGTTAAACTTATTTTTTAATTTAACAAATCTGTATCATTGAAAAATAATATGTAAATTGTAAAATTTTGGCTATTATTAATAAATTATTTATTTTATTTAAAATTGGAATTCGTACGATTTTGAATGCCTGAATGAATAACATTACTTTTCAAGCAAAATAAAATTATAGAAATAAAGATTAATACAGCAATAAAGATTCTAACTTTTATATACCATTTTTTACTGCATCAATGTATCATAACAAATTAGAATGAAAATGAAAATGCCTTACCTTTCTGTTGTTTTGCTTTTTGTAAACTTTTTGAGCACAAGAAGTTTCCAAAATGATTCCGTGTCTCTTTGGAAAATGGATTATAACATTTGAGAATGATACTTCCTCCTAGAATAATTTAAGAATTTAATTATTAAGAATAGAAAAGATCAAGATGATTGATTGATTAATTAATTAAAATAATTTTCTAATACAGGACATTTATTGTCTCATTCAAAAGAATATAAGACAATATCCAAGCGAATATTATTTATAATCTGATAAATTAATTTAATTCGATGCTAAATGGAAACAATCTTAAATATTTTTAATGAAACTTTAAATCTATAAATAGACTATTACATCTAATGTTCTATCGACAATTATTCAATTTTGATCGCTTATAAATCAAAAAATTTATATTGCCTGCGATATTCGGGTTTATGTAATTCAACTTTTTCGAAAAATGTTAAAATGGAGCGAAAAATAACTCGCAATTTTCGGAAAATATTCTATTCCAAGATGGCGCCGGCGATACGAAATCGAACGAATTCGAATCGGTCAAACGTGCGATAAATGCGTCATGCGTTACGTCATAAGTTCGACGTCAGAATATTAACTACAGTAATTGCAAATGTTTTGTTTAAAATGCTAAAATAGTCCCCTTTTTGTAAAATATCGCTAAGAAATTTGTAATAAATAAAATTATAAAAACGTATTCCATATCCTTATAAGTTACAGGCCGCAAATCTAGATTTAAAGTTTATTTAATTTTGATATATTAATAATCGAAAAATATTAAGTTACCTACGTTACGCAAGCTTTCGTTATTAAAATTCGTACGAAAAATGTTAAAATGGAGGGAAAAATAACTCGCAATTTCCGGAAAACATTCTATTCCAAGATGGCGTCGGCAACAATACGAAATGGAACGAATTCGAATTTGTCGTTGCAATGCGTCACGCGTTACGTCACGAGTTTTACGTCATAGATGTAATATTTCGAGTATTTTAATTGCATTTTTTAAGGGAAAGTTTCTTTTTAACAAATTCTTTGGTCTCGGATTTGGCAAAATATTTGTTAACTTCGCTAAAAAGAAAATGTATTCAGATAAACGTAATAAAATCACCTAGATGACACAGAATAAAAAATAATTTCTAATAAAATAAGTAGTAGTATTTATATTAAGTGGTTCAGCTGATCTCCCAATAAATTTAATAATTAGAATTAAATTAATTGGAAATTTAGAATATTCTGAAAGAAAAGAATTGTCCAGAATGAGACTCAAACCCACAACTCCTGATTACCAGGTATCCATTACATTACCTGGATCTCTTTCTGATTTTTATTTCTAGAACTGTTAGTTAATTTAGATATAAGCAAGGTCACTTAAAACTGTGTTGTGTGGTGGAACCAATGTATTTCAGATAATAACAGAATCAGTTGTCTCAAAGGAATTGTGTATCCTTGGTATCCTAAGCATGTTAACATTGTCTTTTCAATTTCTGATGATAATATAGATGATTGGATCACACTTGTACATTAATTTAGCTTCATTTAGATGGATTATTTATTTGTATACGAATAGCATGCTATGGTTATAATGAAGAAAGATAACAACACAAATAAGTATATTGTTTGAATTCTTATAGTTTTATCTGGTATCACATTGTTAGCATATGAGCCTTGAACACTACTACCAGAGAATGTTTGAACCAAATTCTGGATAAGGTTTCTATAGTAACTTGTTTTATAGCAATATATTCAAACTGTTGTAGTCATTTGCCATTTCAGTGAAATCTATACATGGGTAAAGGGTCTTTTGGTCAGAACTCTAAAAACAGCTATTTTGTAGACATAGGAGGTCATTGGAGCTTGTAGATATAAACAATGGTGGGTGTGATGGTTTGTAATATACATTTGGGTGGATATGTTCATTTCTAATGTTGATTTTAAGATCCAAAAAATGTACCATTTAGTTGCTGGTATGGTCTAATTTAATACAGTTCATTTGTTGTACGGAACCATTTATATCTGGTTTTGTTTTCCGTATAATAAAGATATCTTCTACGTATCTTCTGTACATAAGTATATATGGAAGGGCTGATAAAATTATTTTTCCAATAATATCATATCTGACAAAGGACCCCAGACAAGAGGCTATCCATAGTGCCCCTCTCTTTTGAACATATTTCTTGTAATCAAAGTGAAAGAAAGAGGAATAGCATGAGATATGTGCTTAAATCCAGGCTACATTTGCAATTGACTTGCTCATTGCTTTTATGTAATAAATCTCTAAGAGAGCAAAAACATGGTTGCAATTTGATTAAATGGCACACAGGTACAGTATAAAGTCTAAGACTGTAATATAAACATCTCCTATAAGTTGACTGCCAGAAATCATCAATTATTTTCCCTGTCTTACTGATGGATAATTTATAGGTTTTTAAATGCTCTTTAATTAATAGATTATAATGAATAGCATTTTCTAAAAGGCAAGTACATGACATGGTTTTATCCATTATGAGTCATATAATGTTGCTTGATTTATCCATCTTTGTGAATGCAAAAAGTGTAGGAGTATTAGCAGAATTTGCCATTACACTATCCAATTTTAAGGTTCAAAAAATGTAAATCCAATAAATACAATACCAAAGCTGTGTGTGTGTGTGTGTGTGTGTGTGAACCCACAGAGCTTTATAATTATAATCATTAACATTATATCAATAATAATATATAAAAAGTAATTACAAAAGATAATTAAAAGTAGGTAAATATATTTTATTGCCCTCTCAGAATTTATGCAAAAAATAACTCTATAATAAGAATATTTTGGAATTAACTGATTGTATTTGTTATACAGTATGTGATATGATATTTTTTTGTCTTGACTGGTAGTTTGTATTATTGCATTATTAAAGTCTTTAATAAGCTGTTTGAAAATTTACTGTCTTATATGATTGCATTTAGTAATTTTTAGCTGTAAACTGAGTTTAATCAATGTCCCAAATTTATCTAGAAAAAATATTACTTGTTTGATACTAGCTACTCATAATATTGACTATATAGTCTATCTCAATCAGATAGAACTTATTGTTGAGTCAGAGAGTAACAATACAAACAAATTCTTGTCCACTCTCACAAAGTGAATGGTTCAACGAATGCCAGACTTCACAGCAACATCTGTACTTCTTGAATCCCTGATTCTGCTCATTCAGGTCAAGTGAAATCATGCTAGTTTTATTCCAGAATTTCTGGATTGTTGATGGTTTGACAGATGCTCACACTCCAGCAATCAATAATTAAGGATCTCATCATCTCCATATCCATCCATGTGCAGTGGACATTAGTTTGTGCTCTCTTTATAATCATTCTTAACAACAATAGTTTGATGCAGCAACAGTTGGAAGAAAATGCCTGTTTCATCAGTGTTGAAGATGTCATCTGCACTGTATCCACAAATTATAATTGTATCTCAACTGTAAGTCATGAAAAGCTAGGTTCATCAAAACATCATTGTTTTTTCTGAAGATACTTTTTGAGGATTTCACACTCTCATGAAATCTAAAGATCTACCCATTACTTGCTTGAAAGTCTTCTGCTCTAAGCATTTTCACAAACTCTGAAGCCTTCTTTTAAAGAAGGGGTCTACATGTGGGACTATTGTTCTTGAATGTCTAAAAAACTAGATGAAATAACTTTCTCCATATCACTGTACTGTGTGCCATACAATTTCTTCCCATTTGGAACCAAGGTTGGATTTTGAATTTCCTTTCAATCTTGGAATGATCTTTTAAAATCAGACACCTCCACACTCCTTTGCAATATCCTTTTCTGACCTGGAATCAACTGCTGGGATGGGAGTTCTTCAGACAATGAAAATTGATGATGTTTTTCCCTTCAGTGTTCTTGTCTGATGACATTATTTTGAATGACTGAAGAACTATAACTACAGTATGGTAAGGATGCATTGAACTGAGACTCTGTTTGCCTCTTCCTTCGTGTAACTTCCCAGCAATGCCGGCCCGAGGCAAGTTTTAGGATGGAGCGAGATCCTATTATGGTGCCCCCCTTGGTTGCCCCTAATTTATACCCTTTAATTTTCTTTACCAGTGAAGCGCCCCGTAGGACTTAGCGCCTGGAGCGACTGCTCCGCTCGCCCTATGGTAGGGCTGGCTCTGCTTCCCAGCATAATTTCTGTTATCTTCCTGTTTGGCAGTTCCCTTCAAAAAGATCTGTAGCTGGTATTGATCACAGGACTTTTTATAGGTCTTTCAACTTTTGTTTTTCGGGATATTTCCATAATATTTTGAATATGTAGTATGTAACCAACTATCCCATCAACCCATTCAAAAAACCCTAAAGTCAGTTCCTTGATTTGACAGGTCTTTCAGACAGTTTATTTCGGGTGGACATCCTTGACACTTCCTGACTCCTTTCATTCAATTCTTCTATTCCATCAGAGTTTTTTCTATACCAGGGTATTTTAGCATAAGGTCCAGAAAACTATTTTGGATTATTGAAAGTTTTGTTACACTTAACTTTCTTATGTCAAGAATTCTTAAAGCATTACTCATATGGGCAACCAACTAGGAATTCAAAACTTTTTCACTATGCAGTAGAGTTGATTATCCAAAAATCAGTTGTCTAAAAAATTTATTCACTAAAGTCAATGTCAGAAAGTACTAATTCCAGAAAAAATAAACTATTTATGATTTCTTCAGTGGTGATTGGCCACACTCTTCAACTGGCAGAGTATATTTCCCCATTACTGCTATTCTTGGGATCAGCATTTCCTTCAGTTGTCAGAGAGATAGTGGAGTTATCAGGAAATGATCATCATTATAAAGTTGAGTTTTCAGGGACACTGCATTAACCTGTTTAAAAGACTTGAAAGTGCTTCTCTTGGAGCACATATACAGAGAGTTTAAAGAAGTCCTTGTGGTGCTTTTTAAGGTTTGGAGTTCATTTCATTTTCCAGTGGAAAACCACAAACCCTGAGTCTGGATCACTCACAACCTTTAGATATCCCTTCCTTCAAGAGAGTTTGATTCACCAGACCTGTCACTTTATATTGTCACAACCCTGCCACACTTGTAGAGATGATGAAATTCACTCTCCAGGAGAAAATAAACAAATGGACAGATAGTATGATGGAGCAGATTACATTGGTCAACATCATCTCACCAAAGAAGCAGACATTGTCTTCTCTGGGTATGACCAGCAATGCAGGCAAGCTATACCAGCCAACCATGCAGCCAGCAGAGGTCCAATATACGAGTATGTGTTGTCAGCAGGTGAGTATAGAAGCAGCTAGTATAGAGACAGAAATATAACTGTCTGCAGTTGGGAGGGCTACCTAATAGTTTTAATTAATTTGGAGTTTTTCCAATGGTATGTAACCAACCAAGTGCATTGGTGTCAAGTTTGAATGGATTGTTTTTGCAGTATGTTAAACATATTTTTTAAATTTAAAATATCTCTACCATTGAAATAAATAATACATAAGTTGTAAAACTTTGTTATTTTAAAAATAAATTAATTTTCTAAGTAAAATTGTAATTCATATTATTCTAAATGGCATGAATGAATAAAATTGTTTTTCAAACATCATTTTACAATAATAAATTAGATTTATCATCAGGATTCAAACTTTTACATACCATTTTTTATTGCATCAATGTATCATAACAAATTAGAATGAAAATAAAAATGCCTTACCTTTCTGTTGTTTTACTTCTTGTAAATTTTTTGAGCACAAGTTTTCAAAATAATTCCATGTCTCTGGAAAATGGATTATAACATTTGAGAATGATACTTCTTCCTAGAATAATTTAAGGATTTAATTATTAAGAATAGAAAAGATCAAGATGATTGATTAACTAATTATTTTAATATTTTAATTAGTTAATTCTAATTTCATTGAAAAGAATATAAGACTATATCCAAGCGAATATTATTTATAATCTGATAATTTAATTCGATGCTAAATGGAAACAATCTTAAATATTTTTAATGAAAATTTAAATCTAAAAATAGACTTTTATATCTAATGTTCTATCGACAATTATTCAATTTTGGTCACTTATAAATCAAAAAATTTATATTGCCTGTGATATTCGGGTTTATGTAATTCAACTATTTCGAAAAATGTTAAAATGGAGCGAAAAATAACTCGCAATTTCCGGAAAATATTCTATTCCAAGATGGCGCCGGCAATACGAAATGGAACGAATTCGAATCCGTCGAACGTTGCAATGCGTAACGCGTTACGTCATAAGTTCTACGTCAGAATATTAACTAATTGTAAATATTTTGTTTAAAATGCTAAAATAGACCCCCTTTTTTGTAAAATATCGTTAAGAAATTTGTAATAAATAAAATTATAAAAACGTATTCCATATCCTTACAAGTTACAGGCCGCAAATCTAGGTTTAAAGTTTATTTAATNGAGACGACTGGTACCATGAATGGATTGCGTTATTTTGGCGTGTGATTCGAGCGTTGTAAGCGGGATTAAGTTTATGCTGGTGATTTCTGTATTGTTTTAAGATATTTTTATATAAATAGTTCCTAGCGTATCTAATTTTGCAGGTTATCTTAAACACTAGCAAATGGCAGTGTGTAATTAAAACTTTCTTTACGACGTATAAATTATGTTCCTTTATATGTTAATTTGATAACTTATGAAACGTAAATTAATCAGCTATTCTGTGATATATTCTGTTTATAAGACACGACGTTGTATTGTTTCTTTTGTGATATAGTAATTAGTACAGTATAGAAACTTAATAAAGATAATGTCTGTCAAACTTTTGCCACATTCGTACACATAAAAAAAAACAATAATGCACATTGGAAGAGTCGAAAAAATTTCTCAAGAACAAACAATAGAGACAGAAAGAAAACCAGAAACACGTTTCATCGACCGAATTCTTGGTCAAGTTCCAGTAGAATGAGAGAAAAGTCTGGTGATTTCTTGAGTGGTTTTGTCAAGGAACCAACTGGTGATTCAGTTATCGCGAGAGGTGAACACTGAATAGAATGTAGTCTGCTCTCACATCACATCCGCACTGTTGATGTACTGATTGTGTATGATGCACATCCACCCTATCATTTTGGTAGCGACAAAGAGAAGGAAGAAACGTAATTTAAATAGAAGGGAAAATGTGTTAATTATTTAAAATGTCCATCGTGTTTCTCTCGTTAGTGTGCGTGTTTCTTTTTCTGTGTATTTGTGTATTCAACGTCGCGTGTTTCTTTTTGTTTGGGTCATATTTTGTATCTTTGTGTTCATATATCTTGCCTTTATGTGCTTAAAAGTCTTTTATGTGCCTTGTTTATGTATTTTTTTTTTTTTTTGTTATTGTACGCTTTAATTTTTACATTCTTCAGGCATACTTGTGTTCGAGTTATGTTGCGTTTGTATCTATATTGCACATTATGTTCGTTGTAAATCACATATTTGTGTTCATTTCTCGTATGCATGTGAGTGTGTGTGCCGGGGTGTAGATTTATTGCGACGTTTCAGAATGTGA